CTCCTCCTCCTCCTCCTCCTCCTCCTCCTCCTGCTCCTCCATTCCTTTGCCTTTCCCTAATCAATAACTTCTCCCTGTCGCACCCCGAGGCAAGTTTTTAGGGCGGGCAGGGCGTTTCGCCTGAGACTTCCTCACCATGTATGACTCTGAGGCTTAAAAGATTGGCAACAGGTTCACAGACGGAGGGCGGCTCGTATTCAAAATGTGGCTCTCGCCTTGGCGCCGCGCACTTTCGGTCTAAACAGTTACAAGGCTTCACGGATTGAGGTCGGATCGTTTCAGAATGTGGCTCTCGCCTTAGCGCCGCGCACATTCGTTTGAAACAGATGCACACGGATTGAGGTCGGTTCCCTTAGACAATTCAACATGTGGCTCTCGCCTCAGCGCCGCGCACATTCGTTTATACAATTTCCAAGAGTTTCACGGATGCCCATGATCAGCGTATCAGAAATGGTGTTTTGGAAAGATTCAGGACTCGCGGTGTTGAAGTCCCGGGAATGGCGTTCTGGCACGATTCTGAATCCTCAGCACGCAAGAGTCGTTGGAACCCCGAGAGCAATGTTTTGGCATGCTGCAGGGTCTTCCAACGGGATCGTTGATGACTCTTGGGTTTACACTGGTCCTCCTCCTCCTCCTCCTCCTCCTCCTCGTCCTCATCCTCGTCCTTGCTGCTGCTGCTGCTGCTGCTCCTCCTCCTCCTCCTCCTCCGCCTCCTCTCCCTCCTCTTTCTCCTCCTCCTCCTCCTCCTCTTCCTCCGCCCTCGCGACTCCTCCTCCTCGCTCCTCTTCTTCCTCCTCCTCCTCCTCCTTGTCCTCCTCCTCCTCCTTTTCCTCCTCCTCCTCCTCGAAGACGGGCTCCGCGGTGCGCTCTCTTGCTGTGCCTTCTGCGCCCGCCTCTTCTGCCGTGGTCCCATCGACCCACCTCTCGAGCCCACCCGCGAGCCGCCCCACGGGCGCGCTCGCGACCCGCCCGCGATCGCCCGGGCTGGCATGGCAGATCGGCGGCAATGGCCCCTCCGTCCTGTGGGCATGGCAGATCAGCGGCAGCAGATTGGACAGAGGGGGAAGGGCAGCAGGAGGAAGAGGAGGAGCGAGGAGGAGGAGTCGCGAGGGCGGAGGAGGAGAAGGATGAGAAGGAGGAGGAGGAGGAGGAGGAGGAGGAGGAGTGAGGAGGAGAAGGAGGAGGAGGAGGAGGAGGAGGAGGAGGAGCGGCGTGGGAGGAGCAGGAGGAGAAGAGGAGGCGGACCAGTATGATGAGCGAGGAGGACGAGCAGCGAGGAGCAGGGGGAGGAGGAGGGAGGGGGGAGGCAACAGTGCGAGCGGAGAGCTGACTCGGGCGGCTGGCCCGGAGGCGCGTCGACGTGGACCACTGCTGAAGCCGAAGCCAGAGCTGCAGTGCACAGGAAAAGCAAGGGGCCCACCCTGAAGGCTCGGTAAACGGCAGATCGTTGAGCGATGCCGCAGGCTCCGTAGAACATGGCCCCCCCCCACCACTCCCAGAGCAGCAGCCGGGCAAGTCGGGTGCGCATCCTCATGCTTTTGAGGGAAGGCCTGCATTGGCCAGCAGAGCACATGCAAACGCTTGCCGACATCGTGCTACCCTGGGGAACGCAACACGAGGAACAAAAGGGACTCGTCATGGCACCGGCGAGCCTCGGCCACGAAGACGTTCCCCGAACTGGACAGAAGAAGGGGCCCGAAGGCCAGGGCCCCGCCTGAGCCCAGAGTGGTCAGCACTTCAGCGTGCTGGCGGTAAGGGGAAGCTCAGGATCTCGAGCCCAACATGAAGCCGCATAGCGTCGTCCAAAATACACCAATACGGGATGACCACGCAGGTGGCACGGGTGACCCAATCAAACCCGCTCCAGTGGGAATCGTTCCCAATTGCGTCTGTCGGCAATGAGATTATGTGTTTCTTTCAAACGGGACCGACTTAGACCCAAACGCCAAATTGAACAACAAAGCACGGCAGCTGGAATGTCAAGCACAACATGAAGCGTGAAGCCACATCACGTCGTCCATAAGACAACAGCGGGTGAGCGGGGTGATCCAGGCCCCCCGCTCGTTTAGAAATCATGCGCAGGTGCGCGCGCTGACATGAGAAAACAAGTGTGCCCGTGAAAATAAATCCTGACGGAGGACCCAACCTACCGAAAAGCAGGTGATGCGAGGGAGGGGAGCGAACAAACTACGACTGGCGCAGGATGCGATCCTCTCCTCATAGGCAGCGCGCCACAACTTGGATGCAGGTCGAACCATGCGCTGCCATTGAGGCCTTCTTTGAAGCTCCCTGAGCTCCTTCTGGGGTCACGAAACGTGTGAGGGGTGGCGCGCATGCGGGCGCTGCCACTGGGGCCTCCAAGGGACACGAAGCATGCGAGGGGTGTGCCGACCCGTGCGTGGACACGCGTGCGGGCGCTGCCTTGGGGCCTTCAATGGAGCTCCCAATGGGGCTGCGAAACGTGTGAGAGGCGTACCGGCGTGGAGCGGGCACGTGACGGCCAAGAGGGCACCAAGACGGCCCAAGAGAGCTGGGCCAGAACAGAGCCCCAAGACGGCTCAAAAAAGGACCAAGGGAACCCAAAGACTGCCCAACAGGAGCCCAGGAAAGGACAGAAGAAACTTATGAGGACCGAGCGGCCTTGGATTATTTATTCTTCGTGCCAAAGAAACTAAGGACCTACCCCAGAACCAGATAACCCGTGATTACCGTGCGCAATGCTGGCAATCCTCACCTGAAACTAATAAACCACTGGATGTCTGCCACCGTGCCTCCTGCACGTAGCTGGGTACCCAAAGGCCCATATAATTATGAGTGCTACACGTGTCGTATGCTTAGATCCGCAATTTCCCCTGGAAGAATGTTTCATTTGTTCTCGGGTGCTCGTGGTGTGTCGCGTGAGCCATCGGTAAGCTAAACCTGCCCAAAACGACCACAAGATGCCAGAAGAGTTTCCCAAGTAGCGCCCAGAAAGGCACAGGAGGCCCATGGGAGGTTCCAAGAGGCCGCAAGGAATTCCAAGAGGCCCACAACAGAAACCATGAGAGGCTGCAAGATGCTCTAAGGAGCCCCGGACAGCCCAACTTGCCGGAATCGAACAAATGCTTCCACATGTTTCGCCTGTTCGGCATCTCGACTCCGCACGGCTTCAAGATTGCTTCAGAGAGCTCCAAGAATTCTGAAGAGCCTCAAGAGTCTCCCAAAACGGCCGACGAGGACATGAAGATGCCCCAAGACGGCGAAGGCCTCTGTTCGAGCCCAAGAGGGCGCCAAGACGTCACAAAACGGCACCAAGACAGTCCAAGAGAGTCTTGAAACGATACGAAAAAAAAGGCTCACGAGGGCTTTCGATATCCCAGGAAAACCCCCAGACCGACCCGACGCACCCAAGAGTCCCCAAAGAAGCCTGCACGACGCACCCAAGAGACCACGAAAGGCATCTAAGAGGCGTCACGCGCACGCCTTCCACAAGGTGGCGGGACGGACCCGGCCACTGGTATTTCACTGCGTGCACATTCCTGAATGTTCCTGGCCCCAGAATGGCTGCAGGAGCCATGGAAAAGAACAGCTAGACGACAGGAAGGAAGCATGCGCCCTCGAAACCACTGGGTGGCGTTCGTCTTACGGTCATCGCTGAACGGCCCCGTCAAAGTTGAGAGGAGCTGGACTCTCGCGTGAATCAGGCTTGCTTCGACCAATTCCACCACCCACGCACCCCGAAGCGCATGTGTACTTCGTGGAGGGAGGGGGACAAGCTCCCCGCTGCGTGAGCAGAACATTTTTAGTCGGCTGCCTCTTCCCTCGAACGCGTCTGGGGCATTGTCGCCAGACTCGCAGCCTACCCGCAGAAGAATTGTGAATGAAACGTGTCAGGCCGACGCTCCTGCTCACGATGGGCCCTACAACAATCTGACTTTCGGGGGCGCCCGAGTCCCGAAGCTGCCGGCCGCCTCCTTCTCCTTATCCTCCTTCTCCTCCTCCTCCTCCTCCTCCTCCTCCTCCTCCTCCTCCTCCTTATCCTCCTCCTCCTCCTCCTCCTCCTCCTCCTCTGCGCCCTTCATCTACGGCTGAGTCTGTGACGGCGTCTGGGAGTGGGTCTGGCTCCGACGCTGCCCGTATCTGAGCCTCGGCCTGAGCCGGGGCCGAGGTCTGAGACCGGGTATCGGCCTGCCTGTCGTCTGCCCTTGAGCCCGAGTCCGAGTCCGGGCGTCAGTGCAAAGCTCTGCCCTCGAGCATCGAGGAGGGAGCTTGCTGCGCCCATCTGCAAACTTGTCTGGCCCTGGGGGGCCTGCGGAAGCCTGTGGGGGGCCTCCGTCGGCCTCCCGGGACGAGCAGGGATCAGGATCCAGAACAGAAACAGACCTTCCTGAACTCACAGCTCAGGCAGCCCATAGCTCGGTCCGACTGCGCGTCGAGGTGCAAACTTGGATCCAGGGTGGGCTTCCATGTAAGAGCCAGTCTGAGTGGGGCCTGAGGCCATCGAGGTGCAGGCGTAAAAAGGAGGCGGAGGAGGCGAGTATGGCGTCTTACATTGGGTCCTGCGAGGGCGTTCCGCGCGGGAGGACACGTCCTGAGAGGCCGCACCGACCAAGCGCATCTCCTCCTCATCCCCCCACGCTTGCTCCTCTTCGGCAGAGCGAGGAGAGAACAGAGGAATGAAGCAGCGGGACCAGGACGACGTGCGATGATGTGTATGTGTCCGCTTACCCCCACACCATTGTAAGAATGCACTGTCTCGCCCCCAAGGTGAGGCGCGAAAGGGGGGGCAAGGAGGCGGGTGGGAGGGAGGCAGGACAAAGGGATAGGAGCAGAGACGGCCTGGCCGGATAAGAGAAGCAGCAGACCGATCGGCACAGACGCCACAGCCGAGCCGTGGGCGGGATGTGCGGCATGAGCACGTCCACGCTGTCCAGGCGCAGCTCGGCGAGCGCGGTCTGCACGCCCGCCCTGGTGGGGAAGCAAAAAGGAAAAGCAGCGCGTTTGATGCTGGGTGGGTCAGCCTCCCCGCACCTGGCATCGAAGTACGTCTCGGGAACATTCGGACACTCGAGCATGCCCAGTCGGCATAGACGTGTGGGCATACTGGTCGGCCCTGCGTGGGACTCAAAGGACACTCTGAGCAGGGCGTGAGTGTATGACCGCCTCACGTATACGGTCACGGTGGACGAGCAGCCTACGCGTAACAATGAAGATGCTATGCCCCCGTTGCGTACCTCAATGAAGCATTGCCGACTACCCAGTCTGTTGCGCCCTCTGGGCTCGCTCGGAAACGCCGACCACGACCTGGCGTCTCCCAGTGGCAGCCCTGCCGCCCCCTGACCGCATCGAGATGCCGCCCCGCGTGAGCGCTCACATCCTGGCCGTCCCCGCCGCCGCCCTGCGGCCCACGACCGCCCTCCCTGGCGGAGGCTCCTCGGGGCCGGAGGGGCCCAGGTCGCAGAACGCGGCGCTTTGCGAGGCGAACGCAGCGAAGCGCGGCCACGCTCGCACGCCCGAAGTGCCGCCCTGGGAGGGGCACCGCTGCAGCCCAGGCCGCGAAGTTCGAAGCGTGACCTCCGCAGGTCTCTGGAGGTCTCCGGAGGCCTGTGTAGGCCCCTGAAGGCCCAACAAGGGCACCACACACCCAAGAGCTCTGAACCCTCTGAGCTCCGCATCCGTAAGGAGCCATCCTCAACTGTTCTGGGGATAACGCATTCCACGAGGCATGAGCAGAAGGCTAAAAGATGCGTCTGGCAAGAGACCCGTTTTGAAAAGGAACCGGTCTCCGCGCGTGAAATTGCTGCGCACTTCTAGCTTCTCGCCGTTGTGTGTGTGTGTGAGGAAATCACGAGCGCCCCGTGCGAAAAAGAACCACCATCCACCCATGTAGCTGTCGCACAATGGCTGTCTCAAGCGAGAGCCCCGCTGTTTCAAGACGCAAGCACCCGTCGCTGAAATTCATCGGCGCTTTTGTCGCGAACACGCGCGGCGCTGAGGCGAGAAACTTTGAAGGCGGCCCGCCCCTAGCCGTGTAGCTGCTGGAAGACTTCCTTGCGAATGTGGGCGAGAACGCACACACACATGCCGAACACGACACACCTTCCGGTGCAACCGCTGACGCTGATGGGACGACTGCGAGCATCAATACTGTGAGAACCACGTAGTGAAAACGATCCCACCTTCAACGCGTACAACTGTCGAAATACTCAACGAACGAACTCCACCATCGCTGGGAGGCCTGGCCTCCCTGCAAGGGACGCAGGCCTTCTACGAAGGCCATTGGAATCGGAACTGAAAAATGTAAGCCTCACTCGATACCCGTGGTCAGCGCCACCCGTGCTGGATAAAATGCTGCTCCTTCTTCTGCCACACTGACCGGCTCGGTGCCGTGACCACCCAAGAACCCCAACCAGCATGTTTTGCGTACGACACAAGATCATCTTCCCATCTGCTGAGCCGCCCTGTCCGAGAGCGAACTGGGCACCCGACTGTTCCCCTCGATAGACCTTCCCACCACCTATGGCTCCTCCATTGGGGCATTCGTTTGGTTCACCTTGTAGCTGGCATGCAGGTGATCTTCCCAATCCATCTCCACATCGATTTAAATAAGATTCCACCCAACATGACACTCTCGCTTTTCGTGTTCCGCGTCAAGCGTCGCTCTCCGAACCCATGATAAATACTCTTCGTCCGAAGCCTGGCAGGCCCAACCATCCGTCTAAGCATGCACCGCTGCACGCTTCTCAATGTGCGTTTCTGCCTGCCTATGAGATTACATGTTTCGCTACACCATGAAACAGTCTTGGGCACGCTCGCTTTGAATAGCTGTAGCCATTTTGCTTCAGAGCTGTCGTTGTTCTTTCTCGAGCTGTCTTGTTTTACATCCTCAAGCATCCGGATAATCACATAGGTTGTGGGATAGACTCAAACAAAAAGGACGCCCCGCCTTGACGACACCTGGTGGTGCGACGAGGGAGAAGGAAGTTCTGTAGGAGGGATAGATGGGGAGGCAGAAGAGGAAAGGCGTGGGTAGCCCCGCAAACAGGAAATGCTCACCCCGCGAGGCTCGCCAGCATCACATACACCAGGAGCTCGACCATGAGAAACCTCCCACAAGAAGCCCAACCCTGAGACCCTGGGACGTCCATTGTTTTTTTGTGGGGACGTCACGCTTTCCATAGAAGAACCATCGAAGCCCAAGAGACCCAGGGCACCCTGGATGCAAGCGTGGTGTTTCTGGGCCTGGGCTTCCACTGTAGTTGAGGGGTGCCGGAGCCTCCCCCACAGGAAGGAGGAGGCAGAGGAAGAGCCGAAGGCGGAGGAGGACGCAGAGGAGGATGCGGAGGAGCGACACTCCACCGCAGAAGGGGAGAGCACACCAGCAGCATCAGCAGCGGGGAGAATGACGATATCCCATTCGGGGGACAAGCAATGGCATAAACATGTACTATCCTGGCGAAGGACCCAGACATTTACAGTAATGAATACCGCAGTGGTGCGTATCCTCTTCGGTGGAGCCCCCTATGTGGCCACGAAACGCGTGGGGGGTGTGCCAGAATTGGCCGCGGGTACGCATGCAGGCACAGCCATTGAGGCCTTCGGTGGAGCTCCCTCTGGGGCCACGAAACGTGTGAGGGCTGTGCCGAAATAGGTGGCGGGGGCGCATGCGGGCGCAGCCACTGGGGCCTTCGGTGGAGCTCCCTATGGGACCACAAAACGTGCGGTGTGCCAGAATGGGTGGCAGGGGCGCACGTGATCACAGCCATAGGGGCCTTTGGAGGAGCTCCCTCTGGGGCCACGAAGCGTGTGAAGGGTGTGCCGCAATGGGTGGCGGGGACGCATCTGATCACAGCCACTGGGGCCTTTGGTGGAGCTCCCTGTGGGGCAAAAAACGTGTAATGGGGTGTGCCGCAATAGGTGGCGGGAATGCATGTGATCACAGTCAGTGGGGCCTTCGGTGGAGCTCCCTATGGCGCCAAGAAGCGAGTAAGGGGTGTACCGACATGGGCGGGGGATACATGTGATCACAGCCACTGGGGCCTTCGGTGGAGCTCCCTACAGGGCCACGGAACGTGTGAGCGGTGTGTGTGTGTGCCAGAATGGGTGGCAGGGACGCATGCGGGGACAGCCACTGGGGACTTCGGTGGAGCTCCCTATGGGACCACAAAACGTGCGGTGTGCCAGAATGGGTGGCGGGGGCGCACGTGATCACAGCCATTGGGGCCTTTGGAGGAGCTCCCTCTGGGGCCACGAAGCGTGTGAAGGGTGTGCCGCAATGGGTGGCGGGGACGCATGTGATCACAGCCACTGGGGCCTGTGGTGGAGCTCCCTATGGGGCAGAAAACGTGTGATGGGTGTGCCGAAATAGGTGGCGGGAACGCATGTGGTCACAGCCACTGGGGCCTTCGGTGGAGCTCCCTTTGGCCCCACGAAGCGTGTGAGAGGTGTGCCGACATGGGCGGGGGATACATGTGATCACATCCACTGGGGCCTTCGGTGGAGCTCCCTATGGGGCCACGGAAGTGTGAGGGGTGTGTGTCAGAATATGTGGCGTGGACGCATGCGGGCACAGCCACTGGGGACTTCGGTGGAGCGTCCTATGGGGTCACGAAGCGACACTGGGGACTTCGGTGGAGCTCCCGAGGCGGCCACGAAGCGTGTGATGGGGTGCGCCGAAATGGGTGGCGGGGACGCATGTGATCACAGCCACTGGGGCCCTCGGTGGAGCTCCTTATGGGGTCACGAATCGTCCGAGAGGTGTGCTGAAATGGGCGGCGGTGACGCATGTGATCACAGACACTGGGGCCTTCGGTGGAGCTCCCTATGGGGACACGAAGCGCTGTACCGGGTGCGCTGAAATGGTAGACACGCGGAAGGCAAAGGCAAGGGTGGGAGGAGGGAGAGGAGGAGGAGGAGGAGGAGGAGGCAAGGCAAGGCAAGGCAAGCCAAGCCAAGGCATTGCAAGGCAAGGCAAGGCAAGGCAAGGCAAGGCAAGGCAAGGCAAGGCAAGGCAAGGCAAGGCAAGGCAAGGCAAGGCGAGGCGAGGCAAGGCAAGGCAAGGCAAGGCAGGCGCTCGGGGGTCGTAGCTCCTCTGCGCTCGTGAGCTGGTGAGACCCCTGCGATGGGATAGGAACTGGCCCTCTCTTCAGGACTGGGCCAGCCTGGCGACTCACCAGCGAGCCGTTGCTCGCAAGGTGAGTGGCCATCGGCGGTGAGGCACTAAGCCTGGCAGAGGGGCTCGAGCGGTCCGCCAGCGCTGATTTCTCGCCGATCCGAGGAATCCACGCGGACCTCTGAATTTGAGTGCTTACGCCATTGTCTGTTCCCCGACCGGGAGGTCCCGCACTTCAGCCCGCCGGGCACCATCACAAAGAACAGAACCGACTGGTTGTGAACAGAACGTGCTTATAGCAGGCCAAACCAAAAACCGCGCAGTGCGCGGTGGCCAGCAGCATCAAGCGGCATGAAAAGGCAACCACGAGGCAGAGGCGACAAGGCAGCCAGCAGCAGCGGAGCACGCAGGGGCCGAGGAGGAAGAGGAGAAGGAGGAGGAGGTTGAGGAGGCGAGCCCATGCTCCGAGCCACTGGGCTTGCTCATACCTGTCTCTCACGCACATTCATTTTCAACCATTTTCACTTGCCTCGCAAAATGTCTTACACTACGCCTACGTCGACCTTGCAGCTCACCTGCCTCTCTTCCTCACACGAGCGCAGCAACTTCGTTGCCTAAGTTCGCCCAACGCACAACAAAACAAAAAAGGAGAGGGCCGCGGAGGAGGCTGAGGAGGAACACGCACGGGGGAGGCACAACGCGAGGGGACAGATCGCGGGGTCGGCGCCGCCCAAGGGTGACCGTTTGCCAATGGGGGGGGGAACTCCAGCGCACTGCGGCTTGGGGGGGGCGCGCCGCTCCAAGAGCAGCCCCTCAAGACGCCCTCGGAGGTCCTGGCGGGGCGCCGCTGGACTCGTCCTCCGGCCCAGCAGTAGGTCGGGCATGTCCTCCTACAGGCGGATTTCGGGCGAAAGTCAGAAATACTCACAATGGACTCAGACATGGTCAAACATGCTAGAAAAATCGTCCCCTGACTGTTCTGTTACTGTTCTTGAGTGTTCCTCCCGTAGGGGGGCATGTCCGACTTGCGCCCAGCACCGAGAGCCACCCTGGAAGAGCGAGGGAGGCACCCTTCCGCCTGACTTCCGCCTCGGTGCCGAAGCGGGCGATCTTCGCAACGACCACCAGGTCTTCTCGGGCGACCTCAGCAGCTCCGTGCACCGCGCGCGCGGCCCAGCGCGGGGCCCCTGATGGAACGTGGCTGTGAAAGCTCGCCCTCCGTTCCCCAACAAACCCCCTCCCTTGCCGTGAAGGAGCCCGGCCCTGAAGGAAACGGGTCCTGGACCCCGGGGGCCTTCCCAAAGACCTGTCCCAACAGCCCCGCTCCTCCTCCTCCCCCTCGTCCTCCTCCTCCTCCTCCTCCTCCTCCGCCTCCGCCTCCGCATCCTTCTCTTCCTCCTCCTCCTCCTCCTCCTCCTCCTCCTCCTCCTCCTCCTCCTCCTCCTCCTCCTCCTCCTCCTCCGCCTCCCTCTCCTTCTCAATCCTAAACACACATACATATTCCTCCGCCCCACCCACGCTCGGGATGGCCCTCGCGAAGAGCAGATGGGTCCATCTCCTCTTCTCCGACGTCCAATTTAGCTCGTGACGTCGACTGTCGGGGATCTCGACCCATTCCCCAAGGCTGGTTTTTAGTCGTGAACGGTTCCCTGACAATCCTGGGGCCCGGCGGGGTCCAAGGTCCGAACAACTTCCGTGCGGACTTGTTCATAATGCGTTGGAGGTATGGGAGGCCGCTCTCTCATTCCATGTATTGCATCTTCCAAGGACCTTGCCTATCCTATCCGCGTCGAGCCCGCGTCGGATCCATGTCATCCGCGTCGGATCCGCGTCGGATCCGCGTCGAATCCACGTCGAATCCGCGACGAGCAGTCGTCGAATGTAATTGCGCCAGATTCGTATCGTGACGACTTCGGCACAGCACAAGCCCGCCGCACGAGCCAAGGCTGGCACTCACAGGGCAGGCGAGGCCGCTCGACGCTGCAGCGCGAGGCCAAGAACTGCTGCTTGGCGTGTCGCGGCGGCCCCAGCGACACGCTGTGCACTGCGATGCCGAGTGCGCGTCGCTCGGCTCCGCGGCACTGGCGGCCCAAAAAAAAGCCTCGGAGCGTGGACGCGACGGAGCTCCGCGCGTCGCGCCGAAGCGCGGCGGGCCACCACAGGCGGAGCGCCTCGCGGAGCAGACGCTTTCGCGACCGCAGCCTCCCCGGCCCGAGAGCCCGCACCTCGAGGCGAGGCCCCAAAACCGTGTGGTGGCGGGCCGCGTGGTGACCTTGGAAGCCCCAACGACCTCGCCGCGCGGTCCGTCGCCACACGGCCTTGGGGCCCTGGAGGGCCCGGTCGCCCGAGACGAGCTCGGAGCACAAGCCCAGACCCGAAGCCGCGCGGTGGCCCCGAGCCGTCAATGGCTCACCACGTGGTGTGGTCACCACACCGCTCTGGGCCCCCGACTCGAGGAAGGAGGACGACGGCCCGAGCCCGGGACGCGCACCCCGGAGGGCGGCGCCGCGGAGGCGCGCGACGGCAGCAGGAAAGAACGCGACGGCATGCTTGCTGGACGTCGTCGGCATTTGGAGGCCGGTTCGTGGCCTCAGTTCAGTCGACGGAAGCGGCTCGGGATGAGAAGCCTGTCCTGGGGAAGGGCCACGGCCTGCCCAAGCGTGGCGGGGGCGGAGGAAGCGGGGGGAGCCTGTGGAGGAGGGGAAGGACGAGGAGGATTGGGTTTTGCCGCTGCGCTACTCTGATATACCATACGTACATCAGAGACGGTGTGAACCACAAGCGCACCGATCAAACACCAGGGAAATACCCACTTGCGGAGGCAGGCATGTGGCTCCAAGACCTCCCGTACCAAAACAAGTGGATACAACTTGTGACAAAAGTCACCATTGCAGAACATGGGAGACAATACATTACAATCCGAGGCATCAAGGCGGCCCTGCGCCACTACTTCCAAGACCGATACAACAAACGGGTACAACATCAACAAGGCCAAATGCTCAGAGGGTACATATGAAGTGACCATTGACGACCGAGATGAAGGACCACACTACGGACAAAAACCACATGTGCCGCTCCGGGATGAATACTGGCACGCTGCCAGAAATTAGAGATCCTAGCTGAGAGTCAGCCATACGACTCCGCGACAGGGTTCGGCTACTACCTGCCCCGTGTACCCGACAAGGACGACTACGTCACCCTCGAGATCGACAAACGTACACCTACAAGTGGACATCTCCAGAAAACAACTGTTGCCAAAATATCCCGGCAACCGTACGCCATGGAGCCAGACCTACACACGAACGTGAAGATCTATCTCATGAGTTACAACTTCCATGATACGGCTTTGGACGACAGCACGGAACTCCCATACCAGCGCACGATCATAGGTGGCAGTAAGTTCTACGTGGACGTGCTCGGTCCCCAAGGCGACCCCATCACGAAGGACTACGTCAACATCTACGGCCTGCCTTCCCCATCTGGGAACAACAGCACGCGCACGCTACAGATCCAACACGGACATCATAAGCGTGCGCGTGGAGAGACCTACGATGACGATCACTAAGAAATACGACTACGATCAACAGGTATTCGATACTGACGCATGCTACCGACAGCTGGAGGAGCGCACGAAGACTCCAGCGCTACGGACAAAGTACGCCGTGTACTGCGCTGCACGCAAGTTGCGCCGTCCCTGGCACCTCCTAATGGATCCACTGAGCGGCTCGGCCGTTCCCCTACCTCACGCTCCATCATCCCAGACCCCCGACGTCATGATTTTTTCATGAGGTCGACCCTGAGGAGGTTTCGACCTGTTCCCCAGGACTGGTTTTCATCATGAGTCGCTATTAGGTGGTCCTGAGGCCTGGTCAGGGCCCTCAGAGACCGAAAACTGTGAAAAACCTCCCGTCGTGATTTTCTCATTGCTCGAGGGGGTCTGGGCTCTTGGATCAGATTGGGATGGTGGCCTCCGTGTCCACAACGGAATCTCGAGCAGTCAGCGGGGCGCATCGCGCGTTGGGGAACGGCTCAGTTCCCCCACGCTCGGCGCGACCTCGCCACCGAGATCGGCGCCGAGCACGACGGACGCGAAGGCCGCACGCCTCCATTCTTCATGCCTCGGAGGCAACGCGGCGAGTGCGCCGCGCGCGAGCTGCAGGTCGGCGCGACCCCCCCAGAGGGCCACCTCGGAAACGGCCCCACGGGTGGCGTCCGGAGGACCCCGTGCCCGCGCGCCTCGGGCCCGCGCGTGCGCGGGCGCGGCCGCACGCGGGCGCAGAGCGGGCATCGCCGAGGCGGCTGCCAGAGAGGAAGAGGGAAGGAGGGAGGGATGGAGGGAGGGAGGGAGGGTGGAAGGGAGGCGGAGAAGGAGGAGGAGGAGGAGGAGGAGGAGGAGAAGGAGGGGGCGGGGGAGGAGGAGAAGGAGGACGAGGGTGAGGACGAGGGGGAGGACGAGGAGGAGGAGGAGGAGGAGGAGGAGGAGGAGGAAGAGGAGGGAGGAGGGGGAGGAGGAGGAGGAGGACGAGGAGGAGGGGGAGGAGGATGAGGAGGAGGATGAGGATGAGGAGGAAGAGGAGGAGGTGGCGGAGGAGGAGGAGGCGGAGGAGGAGGAGGAGGTGAAAGAGGTTGGGTACACACTTGCGTGGGGGGGGGGGCGCTGGCAAAGACATTGTTCCTCCAGGTCGGCGCGGACTGGGCACGCAGCGCGAAGAAGATCGCAGCATGATGAGAGGGAGGGGAGCAGGAGCGAGCGAGCGAGCGGACGGCCGTGGGGCGGCTGGAGGACAGGCGGGCTCACACACACACATCAACCTGGAGCACCATCTCCAGCAAGGCGGGGCCCGAAGCCGCCCGCACTGCTGGAAAAGGGACTCTCAGGGCGAGGAGCCTCTGCGAACGCCGAGGCACATGGGGCCTCGGCCGCGCACCGCGGCAGGGAGCACGACGGAGCCTGCGCCATCGCCCGGGCCCAGCTCCGTGGAGCTGTCGCCCGCAGGGCAGACGACAACGATGGACCCGACGGCGCCGACGGCGCCACCGAAGCACCGTGCTCCCCCGAGTTCCATCACGCTCGCGACCCACAGGGCCAAGCGGACGCCGTGGGCGTCGCTGGAGCACACCACCGCCCGTTCGAGCTGCCGTCCAGCAGAGACACGCTGCGTGGCCCCGGCGCACGGCGAGAACCTCACCACTCCGTGGGGCCCCGAGAGGGACACACCTGCCGCGGGATGAACTTGACCCAAGGTCAGGATGCAAACATGGAAAAGGACTGGGATCAAACACCGCACTAGCCAGACAGGATGCATTTTCCCAATCTTACTCAGGCCCAACTGTCGAACATGAGGCAGGTCATCGATGACGCGTCGCAAAGGCCCCCGCCCCACGGGCGCAATCACCAGAGATGCTCACCATCATCTCCGTCCTCAAACACCTCCACCTGGGAACGACCGAGGTGGATACCATCTCCCACCGACAAGCCGTACTCCTTCAGGATCCTGGGAGCAGCCAAGTGCCTGTATAATACCTATACGACCACCCTTCGGGTGATAAGGAGGCGAGGGGGGGGCAACGTCGCACTCGATCGATCTCACTATAGAACTCACTACCGATGATCTTACAATCGATCTCACAATCGATCTCACATTCGGTCTCGCTATTAATCTCACAATCGATATCACAATCAATCTCACAATCGATCTCACATTCGATATGACTATCGATCTCACTATCAAACTCACTACCAATTTCATTATCGATCTCACATTCGGTCTCACTACCGATATCAGAATCGATCTCGCAATCGACGTCATCATCATCATCATCATCATCATCATCATCATCATCATCATCATCATCATCATCATCATCATCATCATCATCATCATCATCATCATCATCATCATCATCATCATCATCATCAGCATCATCATCATCATCATCATCATCATCATCATCATCATCATCATCATCATCATCATCATCATCATCATCATCATCATCGCCATCATCAACATCATCATCATCATTATCACCATCATAATCATCACCATCATCATAATCATCATCATAATCATCATCACATCATCATCGGGACACCGACGGGACACGGACGGGACACTGGCGGGACACCGGCGGGACACCGCGGGGCCCCGGCCGCCCGGAAGGGAATCATTTGGTCCGGCCGCGCCTCAGCCACACGGGACACCAGCGGGACACCGGCGGGACACCGCGGGCCCCGGCCGCCCGGAAGGGAATCATTTGGTCCGGCCGCGCCTCAGCCACAGGAGACTTTCTCTCGCCCGCCCACGCAGCTTCGCCTCGCCCGCACGGCACGCACGAACACGAAACCGAAATCGATTTCCCGGTAGGGGGGCTCTCCGTTCCACTTCGATCTCACCCCCTCACCTCCGATCAAGTATGGCTGCTCGCCCGCAGGGGCCTCCACGACAGAGTACCCAGCGGATCGATCCACGTCTTGATCTGCCACATCTTGTTTCCAGTGGCAATCGACGGGCATCTTGGGCCCCGCCGCTCGACGTCTTCCTTCGCACTCTGAGGTCGGCGGAGGTTGCTGGAATGCCTCGTGTTCTCCACCACCCTGCCCCTCATCATCGATCGCCCAGGGCACACTTTGGCGACGAATCCCTCGTGTGTATTGGACGCGGCATTGACACGTTGAAGTTCTTACAGCATGAGGTGCTGAAGACACACGAATACAGCTCTAGTTCTCCACAACAGATTCAAAAATAGTGTGCCTTCCAACCAGTCAAGACAAGGGGACAGCTTCTTCTTGGGCCAACGCCCCCTCAAGCTCATCCTCATCCTCACCAATTTCGGGGGAAACGTAATCCTTGATCCCATCGCCTTGCTCTTGCAACCGCACCTCGAAGTTGGCAACACAATCCTGCAGCACCTTGTGCAGTCTAAAGCATCCTCTCCACGACGGAGGCTGCAGTTCGGGAGGCAAGTGTGGCTTGGCCCCTTCTTTGGCCTGCTCATCTGCCTCCTCGTTGCCCTCCTTGTCAAAGTAGCTGAGGAGGAGGAGCCGGAGGAGGAGGAGAGCAGAGGGGGGGATGAGGAGGAAGAAGAAGAGGAGGACGAGGAGGAACAGCAGCAGAAGCACAAGGGGGGGAAGGAGAAGCGAGGAGGAGGAGGAGGAGGAACGGCGATGGATAAAGAGGAATAAGAAGAAGAGGAGAAGGAGCCGGAGGAGGAGGAGGCGGAACTGGAGAAGGAGGAGGAGAGAAGAGAAGAGAAGAGGATGAGCAGCGAGAGAGGAGGAGAAGGATGAGGAGGAGGAGGAGGATTTGATTTGACACGTCGCATCGCAGAGGCTAGGGCCAGCAGCAACAAGGGACAGTCTCCTGCGAACCCGACCCCAAAGGGGAAGGGCGCCCCAGAGCCTAACCCTCCACGCCATCAGTCGAAGCCAAGGAACCACCACAGTCCACTGCGCTGGTTAAATCAGCAAGAGGCACCAGCTCGTCAAGCGGCACATCCCCTCTCAGGTGGTTGGGATGGATGCCTCTTCGGATTCTGCTAATGCTGCTCCTCAGGTGGGCCGAGGAAGGCCCCCCTTTGCAGGCCTTTTTTTCCAAGGCCACCACTGCCACAGTCCATGCAGCAGAGCAGCGTCACTCCATCAGGAGTGCCTGTGACATGAACTTTCTGGACCTGGGTCTCCTGCACCAGGGCGCTGACCACGGAGTTGAATCCGAGTTACAGTCATCGGCCTGACCTAAGGAACGGTAAGTAAGGAACGGAGCCCTTTTTTTCCAAGGAAAAAAAGCAGACGGAACGATAAATAATAAAAAACGCATAAGGAACGATACGTAACGCATGCAAGCCTTGAGGAACGACCGAGCCCCTTTTGAAAAGTAAGTGTTCCTTACTCAAGCCGCTCACTGTAGTCCGCAGCAGGCTCGGGCGGGGGCTGGAGCGAACACCACGGGTCAAGCACCTGCGGTGAGCCCCTCTGCCGCGAGTCTCAGTATCTGCACTGGAGGCCCCGCACCTCCTCGGGCAAGGGCCGCGACCAGTAGCCCTCCCAGACATCGGGGGGACGGGGAAGAGGAGGTCGGCTCGGCGCAACCCACGAACAGAAACACGTCCCCAGAGAAGTCTGGAAAAACGCGGGGGCGCTCTGGAGGAGGCCCCCCCCCAGGGGCGGGGGAGGGGGCCACGACTCCCAGGCCAGCCGCGCCCAGCACCTCGGCCGAGGCGCCGGCGGAGGCGGCACCGCCTCCGGCGGTGGCCTGGCGTCGGGCGGTGGCGCCGGCGGCGCCGGCAGTGGCGCCGGCACTGGCGGCGCTGGGAGCGCCTGCCCTACCCAGCCTCTGGCTGGGCCTGGCAGGCACAAGCCGGGACCATGGCGAAAGCGCCTGTGCTACAGAATAGTTCGAAACTGAGGAACGCTGCTGGTCTCAAGGTCAAACTCGGACGTCTCGGTGACCGAGGGTCTGCAGTGGGTCATTGCCGCCGCCTTCGCTGAGACATCCGCCAAAATTGTTGCCTTTAGCCTTGTACCAGTCACTCGAAAAACGCTCAAAGCTGTCAGCATTCAAATGGCCTTTCACGTTCGGTACAGCTACTGCCTTTCTATGGGGGAGGTGGCTCAGGACAAATAGAACAGGTCCAGCATAGAAAGACCTTCTATCATAAGCCACTTCCATCACTAGCAGCTACAAGCCCTTTGTAGTTCGTGCAGAGCTCTGATGCCGAGCGCGCGGGCTTACAACCAGCCAAGACAGCGGCATGTTCAGCACTAGGGCTTGTCTGAGGTAGCTGAGAGCCAACTTTTCCAGACAAGACGGCAAAGGGTTCCCCATCATCCTGAAGACAGATGTAGGCACAACCAGCATGGTGGTGGACTTGATGACCTTTATAACACGAGCTATCGTGATAGCATACTTTGTCCCTGAAGGCTTCCAAGGGAGTCAAGACAGGATTGACACAACTGAAAGAGAAATCATCATGCCCGAAATCTTCTGGTGGCCTCAAGAGACGCTCGGGAGCCAGCTGAAACCCAAACATTGGATGATACGTCTTACTTTCCCTGAAGATAATCGGAGACACCTCATCATCCAAGAACCCATCCCTAACCACTTGCGTCACAGAACAGCCACAGATTCGAGGAGGAAGATGAGGAGGAGGAGGAGGAGGAGGATCGCGAGGAGGAGGAGGAACGGCGACGGGGGAGGAGCGGCGAGGAAGGAGGATGATGAGCAAAAAGAGGAGCGAGGAATGAGGAGAATAAGGAGGAGAGGAGAGGGAAAAGGAGGAGGAGAAGGAGGAGGAGGAGGAGGAGGAGGAGCCGGAGGAGGAGGAGGAGGAGAGAGAGGAGGGGGGAGGAGAAGAAGGGGGGAGGGGGGGAGGAGGAAAAGGAGGAGGAGGAGGAGGAGAAGGAGGGGAGGAGGAGGAGGAGGAGGAGGAGGAGGAAGACGAGGAGGAGGAGGAGAAGGAGGAGGAGGAGGAGGAGCAGGAGGAGAAGGAGGAGGAGCGAGGACGACGGGGAGCGAGAAAGAGGGTCCGAGCGGCGGGCCACCCCCTGGGCGACGGCGCGCTCGAGGGCCGCGCCGACGAACGGCTGGCTGCTGTACCTCGCCGCCGTCGTCGTCGTCACCGCCGCCGTCGCCGCCGTCGAGGGCGGGGCATCGAAGCTTTTGGGCGTCGTTTCGGCCCGCAGGGGCCTCCAGGGGGTCTCTGGTGGCCACGGCTGGATCCGCCTCGAGATTCTGGTCAGGACGCACCCCGTCGTCGTCGTCGTCGTCGTCGTCGTCGTCGTCGTCGTCGTCGTCGTCGTCGTCGTCGTCGTCGTCGTCGTCGTCGTCGTCGTCGTCGTCGTCGTCGTCGTCATGTTGTCGTCGTCGTCGCCGCCGCTGGCGGAGGAGGGCATGGCGCCGCACAGCGGGCGGGGTGTGCCTCGGCGTGGGCACGTGGACGGTCGCGCGTGGGCTGGCGCACGGGGCGGGGGCGGGGCGGTCGCGAAGGGGGGGGGAGGGGGAGGAAGGGAGGGGGGACGAGGCAGGGGGGGGGGGGGGGCGAGAAGCAGGACGAGGAGGAGGGGGAAGGGAGGGGGGAGAGATGGGGGGGAGCGCGCGAACGTGCCGTCGAGAGCACGCTCGTGCTGCTGCGTCACTGCGAGCCGCATCCTCCGCGCGGGGCCGCCGCGGCGGAGGCGCCTCCGCCGCGTGCGGGCGCGGCGCGCAGGCGCGCAGGCGCGCAGGCGCGCAGGCGCGCGGGCGAGCGGCGTGCGAGGCCGCGCCGGCGGCGGGGCGCTCGGGCGCGGAGCCTGGACGAGGCCTGGGCCCTCGGGGCCTCCTCGCGGGGTCAGCACTCGAGAGACCTCTGCCTCCACCCTTCTCCAGGCAGGCGCACCCCACGACTCTCGCACAGCAGCTGCTCGCAAGTGGCCCGGATCCGACGCGGGGGATGCACGATCCACGACATTGAGGCGAACAGCTCCTCTTTGGACGTTTGCGAGCAGGCACTCCCCGGGAGAACGATGCCACTCTCGCGCGCGATCCGTCTCCCCGCACCCCTCGTTTTCGGTGTTCGCGCGAAGCGCCGCGCGATCCGGCCTGCCACCGTCGGCCGCGGCACCCTGCGAGCAGTGGACCGCGCTCGGTGACTCTCGCTGCGAGCCGTGTCTCTTGCATCCGCTGCTCCTACCGGCGGCGCGGGCGGGCGCACCACGTGCGAGAGCTGGGGGCCAGCTGCCCCGCACCCCGGCCCGTGGGGCAAGCAGCGCGCATCGAGCGCCAGTCGTCTAGTCTGCCTGTGAAGAGGCAGGAGTGAGCCACAGCGAGACCCCGCCGGTCCGCGGCGGAGTGGTTTCGAAGACAGGGCTCCCGATCGCGGCTTCGATCGGGGGGAGGAGGAGGAGGAGGAGGAGGAGGAGGAGGACGAGGAGGAGGGAGGAGAGGAGGAGGAGGAGGAGGAGGAGGAGGAGAAGTGAGCAGGAGGGGAGAGGACGAGGGGGAGGAGGCAGAGGAGGAGGAGGAGGGAGAGGAGGAGGAGGAGGAGGAGGAGGAGGAGGAGGGGAGGGAGGAGAGGAGAGAAGGAGGAGGAGGAGAAGGAGGAGGAGAGGAGGAGGAGGAGGAGGAGCAGGGAGAGGAGGCCGACCTCCGAGAGATGCCGTGCGGTGATCAGTTCGAGGAGTGCCCCCCTCCCACAGGCCGAGGTGGAGCGGCCTGTTTCCTTGGTGCGCGCTGATTGGGACATTGCCTGCAGTGCAGACGCGGCCGCAGGACCCCTTCGCAAATCTGGCCCTGAGAACCCGCGCGCGAGGTGCATCCTGGAGGAAACCCAGAGCACCTGGAACGCATCGGCTTCTCCAGCGGCCGCGGGACGTCACACCGCAGCGCGCGGAGCGGAGAAAACAAATGGCTTCTTCATGCGCGCCCTCACAGTACAATGATGAGCACTCCCATCCAGTCACAGAGAGAAGCCTGTTAAGAAGAAGGAGATGGTGTGATGGGCTGATTGGCAAACTTGAAACCCCTCTGGGAAACTGTAACTAGAAGTAGAAGTAGAAGTAAAAATAGAAGTAGAAGTTGTAGCAGCACTACTAGTAGTTCTGGTACGAACAGTCGGAGAGGCAGTAGTAGTAGGCGCCGCTGTAGTAGTAGTAGTAGTAGTAGTAGTAGTAGTAGTAGTAGTAGTAGTAGTAGTAGTAGTAGTAGTAGTAGTAGTAGTAGTAGTAGTAGTAGTAGTAGTAGTAGTAGTCACCGTGGCAGATGTAGCAGAAGGGCTAAGTGAAAAAAAAAACGTCTTGGAAAATCATAATCTGATTTTTGCGCCACACTGTTTGGAGCGATGCTTCGCGCGTGGAAGCAAAGCCGGTTGCGTTGCCTTCCAAACCCAACAGTAATGCACGGCTTCGCTGCGCATTGCTTGTTCCACTTTGCCTTGTTCGCGAGTGCGGGCGTGTCTCGACAAGGTGCTAAGCCATGTGATGGGTGGCCAATCGGGTTGCCATCGTGCGCCCTGGCAGCTCGTGCTCTTTCCGTGCCCGCCCTGCTTCCTTGACCCGCTTACCCCCCACAGCTACGAAAAGTTCCACAGGTTCCTGAAGTCAGGGGGGGCCTTCCTGTGTACCTGTTGACGTTGGATTGGGCGCCAGCCCCGCTCCCCAATTGTGCCGACAGTGGTTCCTATGATGTACCTCTTGTTCCCCTCCCCGCTTTGGCCCCCCACCTGGTTCCGGGGGGTCGTTCGGGCCCAACCCCCGCGGCCCCTGTCCCAAGCTGGGCAGCGTGGGCACCGCCCTCGCCGCAGCCAGGGGCGGCGGCATGCGCGTCGACGAAATCTCGAATGGTGCTACTGTAGGGGCGCTGAAGTCAACGCGACTGCGCCCCGTCGCCGTCGCCGTCGCCGTCGTCGTCGCCGTCGCCGTCGCCGTCGCCGCTGCCGCTGCCGCCGCCGCCGCCGCCGCCGCCGTCGTTGTCGTCGTCGTCGTCGTCGTCGTCGTCGTCGTTGTCGTCGTCGTCGTCGTCGTCGTCGTCGCCGTCGCCGTCGCCGTCGCCGTCGCCGTCGCCGTCGCCGTCGCCGTCGCCGTCGCCGTCGCCGTCGCCGTCGCCGTCGCCGTCGCCGTCGTCGCGGCCGCCGCCGCCGCCGCCGCCGTCCTCGCCCCCGTGGGCCGCGCGAGCAACAGGCCCTCGCTGTTGCCTGCCATGCCGACGGCGTCGCTTTTCCGCATTACGGCCACTGGGGCTTTTCGCTTCCAGCCTGTGCAAGGCCAGAAAACAACCCACGGCGAATAAACATGCCGAAGGACGAAGTCGAGAGCTCGGGGGGCCGACTCCGCGGGAGAAAAAAAACACCAGGAGTCACGGGCGAGATGGCTGGCCAGCGGCGGGTCTCGGATTCCCCCGCGACGAGCAGGGCCAGGCCCCCTCCGAGGGCGGGATGAGGGAGAAGAAGGCGACGAGAGAGAAGGAAGAGGGGCGGGGAAAGGGAGACGAACCGCGGGGGACGGGGAGGCGAAGAAGGCGAAGTGGGAGCAGGGACAAGCCAGGGGACGAATGACGATGGGGAGAGAACTGATGGAAGAGAAGGAGAGCGCGAGAGAGGAGGAACGGAGGAGGGAGGGGACGGGAAGGGCGGGGAAGAGAAGTGGAGGGGGGAGAGAGAGAGACGGGAGGGGGCGGAAGGGGGCAGGGGGGTGGAGGGAGAGCACGCCGTTGGACGGCCGAGGGGGCTCCAGGGGCAATCCCCGTGGACAGGCTCGAAGCGGGAGCCTGGGTCACGTCGCGGCAGGGCGATGCCGAGGCCAGCTCCCAGGCGGGGCGGGAGGGAGGCGGGGAGAGCGGCAGAACAAAGGGGAGGGGAGGGGATGGGGGGGGGGAGAGAGGCGGGGCGAGGAGGCGGAGGAGCAGACGCCGTGACTGACACGGATTATGATGGCAATGGCAATGGTAGATTTCCCTGGGCTTCCCCTGGCCCGCGTTGTCTGCTTGGTTCGTGGTGCCCCTTGTCGGCCCAGAGCGCGCCTGCCGTGCATGCCCCTGTCGCCCTGCGGCCTTGCTGGTTTGAAACGCAGCGGAAAACTGCGAGCCCGCGCGAGCCTGTGCCCCGCGGCACTCAAGAGAACATCTTCATGGCCTCCCTCACGGCCGCCTCGTCGGCTGCCTCGGCGGCGCCCGACTTCTTGGCCTTCTTCGCCTTCCTCCCCGCTGCCGCGGCGCCGGTCGTGCTCTCCAGCTTCGTGTTCAGGGCGGCGACGCTCGTCGCGATCTCCGGGGGGAGCAGGTGGGTGTACGTCAGAAGCTTGGCAAGGTCGCCCTGCGCGAGCGTGCCCTGGACGCCCTTGGTCTTCGCCTTCTCGTGCAGCACCTTGAGAGCGTCCAGGCCGAAGAGGAGCTGCCCCTCACCGCTGCCGGTGCCGCCTGGCGCCGCGACCCTGACGAAGTATTTCAACTTGGCAACGACAGTCGCCAGCTGCTTGTCACCGAGGCACACGGTCAGGTCGGGGGCGACGTCGTGAGCCAGCTTGCCGAGAACTTTCACCACGGCCTCGTGCTTCGCCTGGGCGGTCCGCGACGCCAGCTTGAAGGCTGCCGTCGCCGTCGTCTGGTTGATCGCCTGCAGGGCCCCCGTCTCGGTGACCGCCTTCCTGGGCGCTGGGAGCTCCGCGTGGATCTTCTGGAGCAGCCGCCTCTCGCTGCCCTCCCCGCTCAAGTACTCCAGCACGGCAATCTCGACGCCGAACTGATCGTCAGAGATCAGCCACGACGCCTTCTTCGCCTTGAGCCCGTCCTGGACCTCGTCGCCCGTGTTTTTGCCGGCCTCTTTGAAGTAGGCGTCGCACGCCTCCCTCGCCACCTCGGCCTTCTCGCACATCGCCGCCGCCACGTCGCCCGCCTCGGGGTACACCGGATGAGCAGACACCAACTCCTTCAATGGAGCACAATCGGGAACGGCTGCAATGCATAGCAACTCCTGCAATGCCACCGCCCCCGACGGAGCGACAGCTAACGGGCGCAATGCAATGCAAAAGAGGACAACCACCACCGCCGACAACAATGGACATTATGGCCCCCGCCGGGGCCACGCCCGCGGGCGACATACATGCTTGGGGACACCGAGGGCAGCCAAGGCCAGAATGCGGAACCTTAAACCGATGCTTCCCCATCGAGAGCATGTTTTGGGAGGCGCGCGAAACGGGCCCCTGCAATTTGTGGGTCGACGCGCACCCTCCCCCTATTCCCCATTTCTCCTCGCCTCTTGGGCTCAGGTCTCATCGGGCCTTCGGGCCTATAGGGCTCGTCGGGTTCACCGGGCTCAGAGGGCTCTTAGTTAGGGCCCGTAAGGCCCTCAGAACCTTTAGGGCCCATAAGGCCCATACATCTCATGGGGCTCAAAGCTCATTGCGCCCAAGACGGCTCATGGGGCTCATGGGGCCCATAAAGCTCCTTGGGCTTATCGGGCTCTCAGGGCCCACGGGGCTCACAGGGCCCATTTGTCTCACAAGGCTCTTCAGACTTATAAGGCTCGTAGGGCTCATGGGGGCCCATGGGGCCCCCAATGTTCACGCGGGATATTGGAGCTCATGCGGCTTAGAGTGCTATGGGGGTCATCGGGCACGTGGGGCCCACCAAGCTCATGGGGCTCATGGGGCTCATCGGGCTCATATGGCTCATAGGGGCCATGGGGCTCCTGGGCGTCACAGGGCTCATATGGGGTCGCAGGGCTCACAGGGTTCGTCGGGCGCACAGAGCTTGCACGGCTAATTGGGCCAATGGTGCGCATAACGCCGATAGGGCGCAGCGGTCCTAGAAGCCCTCGAGAAGCCCCCAACACGGCCCCAAGAGGCCCCCAAATACGGCCCCAAGAGAACAACGGTGGCGAATCCAAGCCGGAACGCGGGACCCCACCGCCGCCGCCGCCGCCGCCGCCGCCGCCGTCGTCGTCGTCATCGTCGTCATCGCCGCCGCCGTCGTCGTCGTCGTCGTCGTCGTCGCCGTCGCCGTCGTCGTCGTCGTCGTCGTCGTCGTCGTCGTCGTTGTCGTCGTCGTCTTCCTGTGGGCTCGTCTGGCGGGCCACTCTGGGGGTAGATAGCACGCGTGCTGTCTACCCCCAGGGTGCCGGGTTGGGGCTCTATTGGGGGGGCTCTCCTGGGGCCGTCTTGGGACTCTGTTGGGCCGTTCCTGATGGCTTCAAGAACGCGACACCACGACGCCACCGCGACAACACCAACAAAACGCCAACGTTCAACCGAACTTGAGAAACTTGTCATGCGGACGCACAGCTTCCCAGAGCAATGGGCCCGCCGGGATCCTCGCACCACAACTTGGTCAGTTTCTCCTGCTTCACCGCCGCGGCCTTCCAGAACGCCGAGAAGCGACGGTCTGCCTCCTCCGAAAGAGACGACACGCTGTCCGGAATCTCTTGGCCGATGAAGCTGAAAGTGATCTTCCTGCGGTTGGGGAGCACAGCGATGGATGGAAGCTCCTGCACGGCTTCCAACGCTTTCTCCTTGTGGAGCTCGAGCGAGTCACTGGTCATCTCCGCCTGGCCGAACCTGCCCACGTGCACTGCGAAGACCTCCGCGACCTTCGCCGACAGCACCTCCACCACCTTGTCGCCGAAGAGCTCCTTCCCGATGTCGCTGGACTCCACCACGGTCTCGATCGCCGCCGCGGCCTCCACGGCCGGCTTGGTCAAGATCCGCCGCGCCACCGTGGGCGCCGAGCCAGGCCCTGAGCCATTCGACTGCTGGTCATACGGTTTCCTCCTCCTTCTCCTCCTCCTGCTTTTCCTCCTTCTCCTTTCGCTATGACGTCCTTGCGATCTCGCAAGGACGTCATAGCGAAAAAGTGTTGCATCTTGGAAGCCCACGCGCGCGCCAGGATCGCGGCGTTCTCGGGACTGTACGTGTCCATGTCGTATCTGCTAGTGATGGTGATGTTGTGGCTCTCCTTCAAAGCTCGGCACCAGGAGATAGCAGTTTGTCCAGAAGCGGCCGCGCAGATGGCGTCGGCGGCCTTGCCTTCGTGCTTGGCGGTCCATTCCCCGCCGAGCACGATCACTCGGAAAGGAACCTCGTCCTCTACGGGGGCGGTCTCCCACTGAAGCCTAGTATGCTCGAGCTCCCCCCACGCGACCGCGAGCCAGACAAACCGGAGGCACCGGAAGGAAACTGTGGGTTGGCATTCGGGCCCTGTGCGAGGTGGCCCCCCCTGTCCCAGAAAAGGCTTTCAGAGTACACCAGGGTGGTCCGAAGAGGCCCCCTGGGGATCCCTGAGGGGTTCCAAGGGGGCCCTAAGAGGTCCCCCGAATACTCCAGGGTGGTCCGAAGGGTGCCCCATTGGCCCTCCAGGGGCCCCTGGAACCCTCCCCGAGTGCCTCGGGAGAGGCCCCAGGACAGCTTATAAAAACAGCTTGTTTTATAATGTCCTCTTGGGGGCCTCCTGGAGCCGTCTTGGAGCCCTCTCGGGGTCCTCTTGGAGCCCTCTTGGAACCTCTTGGGGCCATCTTGGAACCCTCTTGGGGCCCTCCTGGAGGCCCTCTTGGAAAGCAAAGTGGCTGAAAATATTTTCAGCCACTTTGCCCTCTTGGATCCCCCTCGGGGTCCTCTTGGTCACCTCTTGGGGCTCTCCTGGAGCCCTCTTCGAGCCCCAAAAGGGGGCCAGGAGAGGTTGGGAGGGCCCCCGAGGGCCCCCGAGAGGGGGCCAGGAGGGCCCTAAGAGGGCAACTAAAAACAACAGAAATTTAACAGAAACCGTTTCTTTGTTCGGGGCAAGTTTTCCCAGGCTCCTGACCCCCTTCCGATCGCTTGAACGGGGGGCCCGTGACGCCGGGGGGGGTTCGACGACCGCGAGCCAGCGGCGGCCGCGACGCTCTGGGGTGGTCCCAGACCCCCTGGGCTGACCCCGGCCCCCGTTGGACTGAGCCGCGGGGGCCACCCCCGAAGCCACCCCCGCGGCCCCCAGAGCGCCCGGGAGCCCCACGATCACAACCCTGGAGGTTGTGATCGTGAGGACCCGGGGCGGCTCCGGGGGTCCCGGGGGCGGCTTCTGGTGGGGGGGGCCCAAGGCGGCCCCCGTGGCCCCGGCGACCCGGCTGGTCGGCGCGTTCCTCGTCGGCCAGTTGGAAAGGGGGAGGAGGAGGAGAAGCAGGGCCTCTGGGGGCCTCGTGAAGCGTCGTGGGGGCTTCGTCCCGGGCGTCCGAGCCCGTCTTCCCTCCTGCCGCCTGCTCCTCCTCCTACTCCTCATTCGTCCGACCGCCTCGAGGAGCCCCCCTCCTCCGCCGCCCCCCCCTGCCTCCTGCCTCCTGGGAGGGGAAAAAAGTTAGGGGCAGGGGCGGCGCGGGCCCCCATCGCCCTGGAGAGCGCCCCCCCCTTCTTAGCACCTAAGAGCCAACTTTGGGCAAAAGTTGGTTCTTGGGCGCTAAGGGGCCCCTGGCCGCCCCTGGGGTCGACGTCCAGCTTCGAGCTTCGAGCTTCGATGATCCAGGGAGCCATGCTTTTTCGCCTGTGGGGGCTCTCCTAAGAGCCGCGGCTGGGGTCGGCTCAGAAAACTCGCACGTTTGCGAATCGTCCTTGGGCGGACTTGGGCCTCTTTTATACCGCTCTGGGGCCCTCAGGAAAGGACAACCGCGGATATCCTGATTTGTTTTTGAATCGTTTTGCCCGCCCTTTTGGGCCCCTCGCGGGGCCCCTCTTGGAGCCGTCTTGGGGCTGTCTAGGGCCCTTCCGACATTGAGCCCTGTCGCGCGTGGCCTATGGGCCCGTCTACGGGGGTGGCGGCACGGGGGGCGGCAGCCCTAAGATTGTCGACGTGGTCGTCGTCCGCCTCGGAGCCGTCGTCGGCATCGGAGGCCTCGTCGGGGTCCGGGTCGCTGTCCGCGGACCCGTCCACAGCGGCGCCCTTACGAGCAAGCCGGAGCCTCTCCAAGCCATCCTGCGCCCAAGGCGCATCCTTCGGGCCCAGGGAAGGGCGCATGCCAGCAGCGTGCTCGTCGTGCGGAACAGGCCCTGGCACTCGTCGGCAAACGGGCGGGAGCCTGGCCAGGAAAGCCCGGAGGGGCACCGCGGGAACATCTGAGGCCCACCGCCGAGATCCGACGCAACGGAAATCAGGCACCACGGAAATGTCGCCCACGGGGACCGCGGCCATGAATCCGCAGGACTTGTTCACTGTGTAGTCCACATCGAACACGTGAGGGTGCCAGCGAGGCGCCCAGGGAGAAGCAGGGCAGGCGAAGTCGGCCGCGTCGTACTCCTCCTCCACGCGGTGGCACCTGGACACGGACACGTGGACCGGCTGCTGCATGGCAAAGACGAACATCCACGCCTGGCAGAGGAGTAAGCACGAGGCGCACCGCGCTCGCCCCCGCGCTTCCGCCCCCCCCAGACCCTCGGGCACGTCCGTGAAAAGCATTACTATACCAGTCCACACTTGCAGCTACCCTGCAAATGCGAAAAACCTCTCAGGGGGGCGGTCTGGAGGGGGGGCGGCACGCGGCGGGCAAGCAGGTGGGGCGTCGATGCCTGTTCCTCGCCGCCAACACGCCACGTGAACACGGCCACCTCGAAGTACTCGCGGTGCGCAGCCACTTGGCCGGCCCAGTCCGGGAGCTGCTCCGCCGCGCCCTGCTCAACTTCCTGCTCCGCGAGGGCCTTGGCGAGGGACTCTGACATGGGCGCGGGGGCCTCGCAGGCTGCCCGCCGCTTCTGGTCCAAGAGCCCCTTGTAGAACTCAGGGGCACTCCCCAGGGCACGGAATTCGTCAGTGTCCTGCCCCGTCCACTTCGCGGCGGACAGAGACATCGGGGGCCGCCTCGCGGCCTCCTGCTGGATCTTATCCCTGACCGCGTACAAGCTCTCGAGCAAGGTGCCGATCTGCCGCGCCAGCTCCCCCCGTCTCTGCGCGGCGTGCCCGCGGGCCTGTTTCTGGTAGCGTTTCTTCACTGCCGAAGACAGCTTTGCGTACCGAGGCCCGTGCTGCTTGAAAACTGCCCGCAGCTTGCCCCTGAGAGGGCGCGGCCGCCGCTCCTTGTCCTTCAGGAGGGTGGACAGGTCGCGCACGTACATCTGCCGACCGCCAGCCTTCTCAGGGCACTTCTTCCTGAGCTTCGCGATCTTGGTCTCCAGCTCGAAGGCTTCCTTGTCCAGATCCGTGGGGCGGGGCAGCAGCTTCGCGGCAGCGTGGACCATGCTCCTGGCGAGCAGCGTCTGGAGCTCGCACTCGGGATGCCAACGGCTTAAGAGAGCGGCGCTCGCGTGCAGCTGCTCCGCGATCTGGGACGCCCAGGGAACGTCTCCAATCAGACGGACGACCTCAACCAGCTCGAGCCTGTTGTGGCCCATAGCCATGAGGTCGTACAGCTGCCCAGACACCCGCTCCTCGGGCCGCGCCCCTGCCGCCAACGCTTCCAGATTGGCAGGCACGCCCCCGCGACAGAGGGAGAAGGGCAGGGCCTCCGCGACGTCGAACACCCGAAACTGGAGGAACGCACGCGCCCGATGCCCTCCTCGAAGACACTGCTCCCGCAATTGCGGGCCGGGGGCCTGGCAGACGCTGCCAAACGTGAGCCATGCGTCTGGGGCCACGCAGCTCAGCTCCTCCATTGCAGAACGAGTGTTCGCCTTGAGCTCGTCCAGCCGCAGCGCCACGCGGCCGTCTTTCAGGAGGAGGGACATCGCCGCGTCGGGCACTGTCGCCACGAGAGCGGCTCGCACCAAGAACGCCCACCTGTCGGGCTTAAGGCGCCAGAACCCATTCCTGTAGTAACCGCCTTTGGGCGACTTCTGGCGAATCCATTCAAAGAGGCCGCATATCCCCGCGAGGTGCGCCGCCACCATGGTCCTCGCGGATGCCCCGACGGTCAGCCACCGAGAGTCGGAGAAACGCCGAAAGCGCCATACGGCAAGCAGAGTGGTGCATGTCAGGCCCACGCAATCGACCCGCTCGCCAGCGTTCTCGCTCAACCACAGCTGGCCGTCGACGAAACGGCACTCCAGCACGTCAGTCAAAACGTGGACCACCTCCTCGTCCAGCATGAGTGCTCCCCACACTGCCCGCCACCGGCGCTTTTCGGCCCCGCCCAAAGGGGTCGAAAACTGCATTGACGTGGCAGCCCACTCGTGGACGTACTTGAGGACGTCGTCGAAAGTATTCCGGACCGAAGCGATGCCTATGTACACATCGCGCAGCACATCAGGGTCGCCGAAGTTGTCCGGCAGGCTCCACTTGAAAGCGTTCTGGCAATCGTGCGCGCTGCACGCCGTGATAACGACGAACTCTAGGAGACGCAACGTGTGGTGCGAACGCAAGCTCGTTGAAAACTGCGGCGCAAGCAGCTCGTGGTACTGATGAGTGAGCCTCGACATAGCAGTGATGCCAGCACGGTCCCAAACGTAGTGCTGCACGACGGCTCCTCGGTGCCCCAGCTGTCGCAGCGTGGGCCACTGCGACCGACCTGCTTCGAACTGCCTGGGAGCTGTTTTGCCGTGGGTGAGAGGCACGGGGTCCCGAATCTGAGCGGCAGTCCTCAATTCCCCGGACGGCGCCACGTGCCTGACGAGTTGGACCCCGACGAGGAACTCATGACTGGAACGGCCGAACCGCTTGACGACCTTGCCGCTCGGTAGCCGCGCAGACACTCGCTGGGACACCTGGATGGGGGTGCCGTCGGAACTGCACGACTGCAAGCACGCCCCGTGCTCCGCGTCCCGCACGACGGCAGCGACTGCCCGTCGACAGACCTCTTTGGCCACCTGGACGGCTCAGCGAAAACAAACCCTCTGGTACGGAGGATGGGTGGAAGCATCGTTCAAGCCAGCGGAATGAGTCGAAACCGTCCACACACGTGTGAATACATAAGCCACACAGCACGGCATGGGCCCCAAACAATGG